ACAGACGAGGAGCAGCTGTGCTGCCTCGGGCAGGACTGGGAACAGGAGGGACGGCCGGACCAGGCATGGCGGGGCGGCTCTAGGCTGCGGGCCGTCCGGACCTGCCTGCCTGTCCCCATGTTCTCTGCCTACATGTGGTCACCCCCAGCCAGAGGGTTGCCCGGCGCCACCTCCCTCCAGGGCCTCCTGGCTGGCGGCTTCGGCAAGGTGCTGACCCTCTCCAGCCTCGGCGGTGTGTGGGGCAGGGATTGATGTGGTCCGAGCACCCCTGGGCATCCCGTGCTGTCCTCGGGGCAAGCTGAAGGGATGAGCTCCACGCGCCCACTCCACAGTCGGGGAAACTGAGGCTCAGAGAGGCCGGAGCAGTCTCTTTTAAAAAGCATTTGTTCATTTGCTGCAGCCCTGAAGGGCCGCCCGGCCTGGCGCGGTGGGAAAGCCCAGCGGGAGCTGCCGGGAAAGCAAGGCTGGGGAGGCGCGCGGGGAGCGCCAGGGAGGGTGTCCAGGAGGAGGAAGCCGTGGGCCTGAAGAGCCGTGGGGCTGACCACCTGCCCCCCGCCCTCCCAGTGGAGCGACCCCACAATAAGTCCAAGCCACCCCCACGCCAGCCCCAGAGCCTTTCCCAGGGCCCTGGACGCAGACCCACCTGGGGCCTTGGCACAGCGCGTGCCGCCCACTGCCCGAGCCCGTTCCTCCACCCGCCAAGACTCCCGCTTGCCCCAGCCCAGGGTGGCCCTCCCGGCCACCTTTAACCCACTGCCCCAACCTGCCGCCAGCTCCGAGCTGCCTGTGAGCTCCAGAAGGTGGAGCCAGATCTGCCCGGGACCCTCCGCCCCGGCACCAGGGTTCACGGTCAGGTCTGAGGCTTCTGGGGCATCGGGTCTGACCCCCCCACCTCCACGCTGGAACGTGCGGCCTGGGGCAAGCTGCTGGCACCTCCTCAGCCCCACTTCTGCCCCTGGGGGCGCGGGGGAGGCCAGAGGCTTTAGTAAACCTCAGGGGCAGGTGCAGGCAGGGGGAGCCTGCTGTGAGCCTTCCAGAGCACCTGGGGGCTGAGAGGACTCGGGGGAGGCTGTCTGGGGTGATGACTGTGGGCTCAGGGGCCTTCAGCAGGTGGGGCAAGAGCATGGGCAAAGGACAGTGGTCACCAGGTCAGCAGGGCGCAGCCTGGAGGGGGACCCCCAGCTCTGCCCCAGGCCTCGGGCCCCTTCCAGGGAGCCCCCAGCCAAAGCCCCCCTCTGAGAATTGCTGTCATTGGAGGCCTGGGGAGGAGACAAGAGCATCACCTTCACCCACCAGGCCCCCAGGGGGCTCGGCCAAGCTCGGGGGGATGTGTGATGTGAGGATTCCGGGCCTGTGCCCCTGGAGGGTCAGAGGAGACAGGCCCCCATCATGGGCCAGGTGGCTCGCAGAGGCCCAGCTGTGAGCTGCAGCCGCCCCACCTCAGGAGAGACTGAGGCTCAGAGAGGACAGAGGCCTCCACAGAAGTAGACACCAGTGGGGGAGCAGACACCAGGGCTGGAGGGGGCCCTCTGCCCTAGCCCCGCCCCCACCGCCAGCTGCAAGCCCTGGGGCCGGCTGTGCCTCCACGCTGAGGCACCTGGCCCTTGTGCCCTGCATCCTGCCTGGGCCAGTTGCCGCCCTCTACAGGTGCCCCGGCCCCACCCCACTGTCAGGATGCCCCCAGTGCCACCTCCAGACCGCCAGGGTCCACCCTCATAAGGGGGTTCCCACTGAGCTTTGCCAATGAGCAGAGACGCGTGGGTTGCACGGTCGGTGCTGAGGGCCAGCCTGGTTCTGGGCAGGGCCACCAGGCCCCAGCCAGACTCATGCTGCCGCACCCCAGCCCACACCCACCGGCGCCTGTCCACCCACCCTGAGGCCTCAGGGAGCAGCCATGTCCTCCCCATGGCCCAGGACTGCCCACCCGCAGGATGTGGGGGCAGCAGGCCATGCCTGGCTGGCGATAAGCAGAGGTTCCCAGGCCGGGACGGCTGCCCTGGCCCAGCTTCCAGGCCCTGAGCCCAGCACTGTGCTGGGCACTCGAGGACATGGCACTGCACACTGCCCACAGGCTCTGGCCAGCTGGCCCGCTGGGCAGGCTGCCCCAGCTCCTCCAGGCCCAGGGCGCCTGCCACGAAAGAGGGGGACAGGGCCTGCTCCACCCAGGAACGGGTGCTGTGAGCCCCTCAACAGTCAAGCAAGAGAGCCCCGGGCTGCCAGGCCAGATGGGCCCAGCTCTCCGGCTCCTCTGCATGCTCAGCGCCAGCAACTATCTGAGGGCCAGGCCTGCACCTCCCCGCTCTGGCTGGGCAGTAGCTAGGGCCAGGCGGCCCCCTGAAAAGCAGCACCTTCGCCTGGCCAGGGCCTGCTGGGAGGCCGGGCGGGGCCACAGGAGGGGAGCCAACATGGGCCAGCAGCGGTGGGGCTGCCCACCTGGGTGCCCCCCCGCTCCCCGCCCCAGGTCCCGCCACAGGCCCCCCAGACAGAGCCATGTGCAAGTCCCAGCTGAGTGCAGGAGGCCGGGGCCCGGGACGCTGCCAGGATGCAGCATGAGTCTCCTCCAAGGAGGAGGCCTCCACAGCAGTAGACACCAGTGGGGGAGCAGAGGCCAGCGACCTGCACGTCACTTCAGCGGCAAGGAGACAGCGCAGGGGTTATCAACAACCCAAGGCCAGCAGCCTGAGCACCGCTCCCCGCCACTGTCAGTGTCAGACGCCCCCCCCACACCCCCTCACCACACCCCCTCAGACCAGCTTCCCATGGAGAACATGGACGGTCCCAGCCCTGGTTGGCAGGGACCCGGGTGTGGACACTGGGGAGAGAGGGCGAGGGGGCACAGCAGAGCAGGGGGGAGCAGGCTGAGGCTGGAGTCCCGGCAAGAGCAGGGGCTCTTAGGAGGTTCCGTGTCACTGGGTTCCGGTTCAGAGAGTGACCGGGGTCAGGGCTCAGGGTGGCCAGGCTCGGGGCTCAGGGTGACCAGGCTCGGGGTTCAGGGTGACCAGGCTCAGGGTTGAGGGTATCCAGGCTCAGGGTTGAGGGTGTCCAGGCTCATGGCTCAGGGTAACAAGGCTAGGGGCTCAGGGTGACCAGGCTTGGGATTCAGGGTGACCAGGCTCAGAGTGTTGCTGAAATCAGGAGTCAGATCTTGAGATCTGGGTTCAGGTCCTTGCAGATGCCCCTCTCTCCTCAGAGCCCCCCCAGAACCCCCAGAACCATGGGTGCCTCACTGGCCAGGTGCGGAGCGGCCCGGGAGCCTCTGAGAGGCAGGGCCTGATGTCCCAGGCTGCCTCCCAGAGGGTGTAGTGTTCACCCTGAGTCCCTGGCCGAGGCCGGTGCAGCCAGTGTAGGCAGATGGGGAGTCTGAGAGTGTGTGGCCTGGGCCCCAAACTCTGCCTGCACATGTCCCCCAGCTCAGTGTCCCTGAGGTCTTTCCTTCCATGATGTGAATCGACTTTTTCAGTAGAGGGACATTCAGGGTCATCACTCCTGGCAGGGGACCTCCTGCCCCCCCCCCCACGCAAAGGACAGTGCCCATGGTCGAAGGTGCCCAGTTCCCAGTCTCGCTGAGCCTCTCCATGCCCCCTCGTGCCCACAGAAGATCTCCCATGCCCCGAATGTCCCAGGCCCTGTCTCCACCGCTGAGCTCAGTGGCTGGGGCACCCAGCGGAAGGCAGCCAGCCTGGCCTGCAGAGCCAAGCTCCGTGTTGTGGGGTGCCCACCCGGGAGGGCACAGACATGCAGGAGGGTCCCAGAGGCGTGCACAGCCAGCCATCCTCGGGCAGGTGCTGACCTCTCCGGGCCCAGGATGGAGGCCCCACCCTCCCCGCTGGCCGCTCCAGGCGGGCAGGACCTGAGCTCCGCTAGGGCCTCTCTGCTCCCCCACCAGGCTGGGCACGGGTCACCCAACACCTGCAGGCAAGACGCAGGGTGGGCGCTGCCAGAGGGGGCCTGCTGCCCAAGCCAAGCAGCACACCCTCACGGCCACCCTCCTCCTCTGGCCACCAGCCGCAAGGACGGTCTCCCTTCCCCTGGAGGTGGGAGTGGGCGCACTGTGCCCACACCCCCGCCCCCCCGCCCCCCACCCCCCCATGTCCCACTCACCCGCGCCTCCTCCCTACTCCTTCAGAAAGCTTTCTCCTTTGTCCTGAAAAAGCAAAAAATGTCCTTATTTGGAGGTTCAGTCTGGGAGGGGGTGGGGGCCTGTTAACCCTTCATTTATAAATAAAGGGATAAATCTCGGTGAGTCAAGCAGCTGGGCAGGAACATAAACAGAGTGGGCGGCCCCAGCCCACCCCCCACCCCCACCCCCGCGCGGCCCCAAGGTTTATTTAACTCACACCCACCCAGCTGCTGCCGGGCGCCAGACTCGAGTGAGCACCCCGCGTGGGCCGCCAGGCAAGGGGCAGGAGGACACGGTGCCGGGGCTGGTTCTCCGCCCCTCTCTCCGGCCCCTGGGCAAGTTCCCTTAGGAGACCCTCTTCCAGGGCACAGACCTGGTGCCAGCCTCGGAGGTGGTGAGAACAGACGGTGACCTTGTGGGGCAGTGGGGAGGGGTGGGGGAGCAGCAGGTCCTCCCGCTGGACTCTGTCCCAGCAGAACCGCTTCCTCCCACCAGCCCTGCGCTGGCCCCTGTGCTGGGTTATCCTGCCGCGCTCGCGCCTGCCTGGAGGCCAGGTGTGAGGCACAGGCTGCCCAGCAGAGGAGGGAGGAACTGGGGTGGGCACCCAGGCCCGCACACTTGGGCCACGGATCCCCTGTCCTGCCACATCGGATGGCCGGGGTGTGCACCCCTGGGGCGCAGGCCCCCGCTCTGCCCCGCTCTCACTGGCCAGCGAGCACACACTGAGGGCAGCCATCTGGGGGCCCGGCAGAGGCACACAGGCAGGAACGGTGGGGTGCTCGGGCAGGCGAGCGGGGCAGATCCGGCCTCCGGGCTGGGGCTCGAGTCACCCTGGTAACCAGTCTCCTTCCTCCCAGGCCCGGGTGTGCTGCCCACCGACATGGCCTCCGCAGCACCCTCGGCGGCCCCGAACACCACGGTGGGGCCGACGGGAGGCAACACCAGCGCGCCGGAGCGGCCGCTGTTCCACCTGTTTGCGCTGCTGGACGAGGAGCTGCACGCCGCCTTCCCAGGCCTGTGGCTGGCGCTCATGGCCGTGCACGGGGCCATCTTCCTGGTGGGGCTGGTGCTCAACGGGCTGGCCCTGTACGTCTTCTGCCGCCGCACCCGGGCCAAGACGCCGTCGGTCACCTACACCATCAACCTGGCGGTGACCGACCTGCTGGTGGGCCTGTCGCTGCCCACGCGCTTCCTGGTCTTCCACGGGGCGCGCGGCTGCCTGCCCTGCGCCTTCCCCCACGTCTTTGGCTACTTCCTCAACATGCACTGCTCCATTCTCTTCCTCACCTGCATCTGCGTGGACCGCTACCTGGCCATCGTGCGGCCCGATGGCGCCCAGCGCTGGCGCCAGCCAGCCTGCGCGCGGGCCGTGTGCGCCTGCGTGTGGCTGGCGGCCGGCACCATCACGCTGTCCGTGCTGAGCGTGGCGGCCAGGGGCGGGCCCTGCTGCCGGGTCTTCGCGCTGACTGTGCTGGAGTTCCTGCTGCCGCTGCTGGTCATCAGCGTGTTCACAGGCCGCATCGTGTGCGCGCTGTCCCGGCCCGGCCTGCTGCGCCAGGGCCGCCAGCGCCGTGTGCGGGCCATGCAGCTGCTGCTCACCGTGCTGGTCATCTTCCTGGTGTGCTTCACGCCCTTCCACGCCCGCCAGGTGGCCGTGGCCCTGTGGCCTGCCCTGCCGCCCCGCACCAGCCTCGTGGTCTACCACGTGGCCGTGACCCTCAGCAGCCTCAACAGCTGCCTGGACCCCATCGTCTACTGCTTCGTGACCAGCGGCTTCCAGGCCACGGTCCGCGGCCTCTGCCGCTGGCGCAGGGCCGAGGGCGAGTCGGGCAGCGGTGACGTGGCCAGCACGCATAGGAGCTCGGGCCGCCGGCACGTCCTCAGCGCCAGCCCCGGCGCCCTCACGCAGGCCCTGGCGAGCGGGCTGGAGGCCTAGTGGCCGCACTCTGCGAGGGAGCCAGAGGTCCGGGCCAGGCCAGCCGGCTCCCCCAAGCAGTAGATCGGCCTCGCTGGACAACGGGTGGCGGCGCCTGCGCAGGAGAACCCAGGGCTGGAGTCGACATGTCTGCCCGCTCCAGGCCGGGCGTGGCAGCCTGAATGTCATCATTGGCCATCCCCTCGAAGGGTGGCCAGGAGCTGCTTCTTATGAGGACCATTCTGTCCCCAGGAGGGACAATTTCTTAGGCACTGGGAATTCCAAAGGGGGTTAAAAAGACAACCTAGAGAGGTCCCCCTTCCCCCACTTCCTTTCCCCACTGAAACAGAAGAACAAGAACAGAAAGGAAACGCCATGGACACCCCTCATGTGAGTGGCTGTGAGGGGTCCGTGTCTCTGTGGGCCCCCGAGCCCTGCATGAGCTGTACAGTAAGACAGCGAGACACCCGTGGGTGCTGTGCTGTGCCCAGGTGCCTTGGAATTGGGGTTGACCCCAAGCCTGCACCATCTACCAAGCTAGAGGGGTTCGGCCACACATGCACCACCCCACTGGGCCAGGACTGGGTCAGAATCAAAACCCAGCGCCTTCCCAGCGCCCCTGCAGCGGGAAGTTCTCTGAAGAAGCCACAGCTGTGCCAGGAGGCCGGTGATTAGGGGCCACCCTGTGGCTGCAAAGGTCCCGAGCAGACACTGCCCTGGGCCCGGCCCTGGCCCCTCCACATAGCCTTGGTCCTCCCCTGCACGGGAGGGAGCAGCTCTGTGCCTCGGGCCTCTGCTCTGATCACCTCCTCCAAGCTGGACTCTTGGATTGCCTCCTGTCGGGATCTGCGCTGCCTGGAGCCTCTCCGGACGGCTGTGTGGGGAGGAGGCCTGAGGCGCCTGGCCAAGCCGGCACCTCCCGGCCCTGTGCACTCCTTACTCTTGGCCCCAAGCACTGAAGCAGGTGAGGTGGAATTGGGACCCCAGGTCTGCCCTCTGTCTGCGGAGAAGTCCTACATGCTCGCTGGCTCCAGGCAGAGGGCCCTGGCCTCCAAGTTCAGGGCCCTAGAGAAGGGCCTAGTAGGGAGGCAGGAAGCCACTGATGCCCTATTCCATGTGGGGAGCCAGGCTCTGGAGGGAAAGACCTTACCAGGGCTAGGGTGTGAGGCTGGCGCCTGGACGAGGCCTGCACTGTCGCCACCACCACGCCAGCTCGTGGGGCCAGCGCCTCTGGCCTGGGACCTCTGTGGCAGCCCAGGTGGGAGATGTTGGCCCAGGACCCAGAGCCCATGGGAGACCAAAGCAGGAGGCAGCGGAGTTGCCGCCCCCGCCCGGGGCTGCTCCCTGTGTGGATGCCCAGTGGGCACCATGTCAGGGTCACTACATCCTTGACTCCAAGTCAGCGCCAGAGCCCCCGTCCATCGAGGAGTGGGCAGGCTGACCGGCCCGGGTGGAGTGGCCGAGGGGGAGGCAGGCTCTGGAGAGGAGGCGTGGGGAGGGGGTGCCCAATGGGGAGCCTTCAGGCCAGAGCTCCCCCAGGCCCCGCCGGTAGAAGTCAGACTCCTGAATCGGGGGACGGTGAGAGTCTTGTGTGCCCCAGTCCTGCCCCACCTGTAGCCTTTCCTGCCAGGTCAGCAGCCCCCTTCCAGACACCTGCACCCACACAAGTCACCCGGGGCCAGAGACCTGGCTCATTGGAGCTCAAGGCCCCAGTGATTACCATCAGGCCCCAGCCCCACCCAAGCCAGGCCTCTGTGTAAGCTGAGGCATGACACCTGCCCATCCTGCTGCGGGCGAGGACCACCTCTTTGCCATGGAAGGCAGAGGGCAGTGGGAAGCACAGATGCACGGGGGAACAGCCCACGCACAGGCGGACACTCTAAAGTTCAGTGCTGGCCCCATCTGCCAGTCACAGCCATTTTCACGGCCCCCCTTCTTTTACAGCATGAGGCCCCTCCTCTGCCACTATCTGTACCCTGCCAGCCCTTCTGCCAGCCCCCTTCCCTGCCATCCAAGCTCCATCTCTGGTTCTCAACTAATTCATACTAAAGAGTGAGTGGCTGGCACTAGCTGCAGCTGTGCTTGGGGGTTGCGATTTTTCTGGGCCCTTCCTCTAGGATGAGGGGTGTCAGGCAAGCCAGCGTGGGTGTGGGTGACTGATGGGGACCTGTTGGGTCCTGTGTCTGCAGCCGTCCACCACTGCCCAGGAGACCCTAGTCCCCAGGACAGGCATGTGTGGAGGCGCGAGCCATGGCAGGAAGGCACCTGAGCGCCCCCCTTGCCCCCATCTGTGGCCACATCATTTACTGGGTTCCTGGGGACTGCAAGGGCTTTAGGGGCAAAGAGTCCCCAGGGTGCAGGGGGAGCCTCACCACTCATACTCAACATTGGGGGAGGGGTGGCGGGCCTCTGAGCACCCCATACCTCCGAGAGCCAGATCTGACACCCCTTCTGTAGACCCTGGGCTAGCGGTTTCCCCTCTTTCCACCCCTCCCCTCGGCCTTGCATCTGGAGGCCCAGGCTGAGGGCTCAGGCCCCTGGGATCTTGCCTAGGACCCCGAGAAGCTTGCTTCCTCCTCCTGATGCTGCCTCCCGCCCTCTCTGGCCACCTCTCTCGGGGCCCAGGCCAGGAGCCTCTGCGAGCTAGAGCAGGGCTGTGGCGGTCCTCGGGGCCCTGGGGTGAGACCTCTGCACCCTGTCCCACGCCTCTCTTCCTGGAGCCTCGCAGGCGGAGTGACGTGCAAAAGCTTGTGTATTTACATCTGGTGTAAACAAGCTCCTTAACGAGAAGTCCTCGTCCTGAATTAAACCTCTTTATTCCCTTCGCACCCTCGACTCAGTGCCCGGGCCTAGGCCGGGGTCTCCATGGGGCGCTGAGCCTGAAGGGGGCCTGTGTGCCCCCACTTGCTGTCCTGTGGACAGGCCGGACCCCAGGGCACCAGAGGTGGTGTGTTTCGCCATCTCTGTTGGGCATGGGTTTAGGGACCCCCACCCAGCTCCAAAGGACAGGGGTTGGGGGTGAAGTAGTAGGTGTGGGGACATGGTGGGGGCACAGGTCAGCAGAATGATGGGTCTGCCTCATCCTGCCTGCCCAGGTAGAGTGTGGACATGGACAGGTCAGGCAGAATGCCCACAGCATCCTATCATATCACCAAAGGTATGATCTGGGGGAAGGAGGAGGAGATGATGGGTGGGCTGGTGACACCCACGGGAGATGGAGGGACTATGGCATGATTTAGGGTCTTACAAAATGCCTGCAGCATTGCCCCACCCTCTGTCCCCGCCTATAAGCCTGAGAAATCAGGTTGTCACCCCCATTTCATAGGCAGGGAGACCTGGGTTCCAGAATGTCTAGGAGGGTGTTCAAACCTGGACCTCCAGGCCCCCAGTTCCCGCCTGCACCAGCACGGCCACTTCCAGCCGGGCCCAGGGACTTGGGCAGGACAGGGCTGTCTGGCACCCTCTGCGGCCGGAGGCGTCTGGAGGTAAATATTAGGGCCTGTTTAGATTTAGGCTCCATTAAGCAGGAACTGTCGCTCCGGCGCCCGGCCGGCTTCCCGGGGGCCCGAGGCCTGCGCGGGGGCGGACGTCCTGTCGGAGATGGATGAGCCCCCACACCCGGCCGCCTGGGTTTTCACACCGCCCCACCCTCGCGCCTCCTCTGCCCCCCACCCAGCCCTTGACAGGGAGCTCAGGAGACGCAGACTCCGGGGATGGCCCACGGCTCACCCTCTCATACCGCCTGGGGCTGCCCTCTTCCCAGGGGTGGGGGGCGCGCAGCACCTGCTCCCCAGCAGAGCAGAAAGCAGGCGAGCGATGGGGCAGGGCCCGCCCACAGCCCCAGCCCCAGCAACAGAGCTTCCAGGGCTCCCCTCCCGCCCCAGGCCCACCCAACCCCACGGAACCTGGAAGCAGTGGGCAGGAGGCAGGCCCAGTCCCTGCTGTCCACTGGGCCCCAAGCCTCGGCTCTGCTGTCCGAGTGCAGGCCACTGCGGCCGGCAGACACCAGGCGCGGGCGGACAGCAGAGCCGCGGGCCCGACACTCCCGGGCACGCCCCAGCCCTCCCTGGGCCTCTGGGCCCTGCTGTCTAGTTCCCCAGCTTGGAACAAAAGGTCCCAGCCCTGCTGTTGGAGGTGCCCACCCCACTTGTCCAGGCCCTGACCATTCTACCTGCCCACCCCGGGGGGCCTGCTCACACCCCACGTCCCACCCCAGTGTCCAGCTAATGTCCAGGATTTACATGGGAGACGTTCCATGTTTGCGAAGCGGCCCCGGCTCTGCCTGTCCCCTGCCCTCGACTTCTCAGCTTCCAGGTTTCAGCTGGGGAGCCCTGAGAGGGAGCACCTGAGAACAGAGGGGGTCCCCAGTCACACTCCAAGTCAGGGGGGCCTTGCCGGGGCACAGTGTGGAGCTCCCAGCCAGATCCCAGGGGGAGCAGGGCAGATGTCCTGTCCTGGACCAGGAGACCCCGACTGTGGCACCAGCGTGCCCCCAGCACATCACAGGGCACAGGCCCTCACATCGGGGTCGCAGATGCCCTGTGCCCAGCTGCGTCGCCAGCGTCCGTGGCCATGGACCTGACAGGGTCCCCCCTGGCTCCCATCCGGCAGGCATCCTTCTCAGTGCGGGGTCCTCTCTGGAACAGAGCCCTGAGGGGAAACTCCTGGGACCCTAACTGGGGGCTCCCAGAGAGGGTGGAGGCTCTAGGAACAGAGCCCAGGCTAGGGGTGCCCGGTCCAGCCCCTGGATGCCCTGAGCTGGCCTGAGCCCATGTCCTCCTCTGTCAGGGGCTCATGCCAGGGAGGCATGTTTGCGGGGGTGAGCACCGGCACGTGTGCGTGCGCATGCTCTGTGCATGCAGTGTGTGCACAGGCACGGGCGTGTGCTGTGCTGTGCGCTGCCTCGTGTGTGCACATGCTTGTATGCGTGTGGGCTGGTGTTGTGCATGAGCACGGTGTTAGGTGCGTTCACGAGGGCACGTGCACATGTGTTTGTGCGGGGGTGTGCACACGGGGGTGTGCATCCTCTGGGCACTCAGGACTTCCAGGAGGGCTGGCCCCTCTGCTTCCCGTGTGTGCACATGTGCACACACATGGGTGTGCGCTCTGTGTGGTGTGTGCTTTGTGTGGGTCTCCCGGCAGGACATAGCCCCCCCAGGCCAGAGGCCCTGCTAGTCCTCTGCTTGAGCTCTCTCCCTGGTCCTCCGCTTGAGCGGTCTCCCTGGTCCTCCGCTTGAGCGGTCTCCCTGGTCCTCTGCTTGAGCGGTCTCCCTGGTCCTCTGCTTGAGCTGTTTCCCTGGTTCTCTGCTTGAACTGTCTCCCAGCTTCTGCTGCGACCTGCACACCCACGGGCCGGGGTGGGGGGGTGGACAGAGCTGAGGGGACTGGTCAGCCCTTCTTGCAGCCAGGTGCGCTGTCTCATGTCTGGGCGCCTGTGGCCACCAGGTGGCGCTGCTGGCCCGGGAGAGGCAGGCCCCACAGTGGGCCGGCCCCAAGGCTGCCGGGTGGAGCTGCAGCTTCCAGACCTGCCTGAGGAGCCTCTGGCTCCAGGTGTCCCCACCTGCAGATGGGGGGCTGGGCCACAGAGGGGGAAGGGCAGATGGGGAGTCAGCGCCCCTCACAGTACAGGAAGAGGACCCACAGGGGTGGTGGGCTCTGTGGGCCTCCAGGGGTCCCCAAGATTCTGCCTCCTTCTGACTACAAAGGCTGCATGGGGGTGAGGGATCCAAGCACCCCCCCAAAGCTGAACAGGGTCCCCAGCCTGAAAACTGCATGCATCACCTTGCGAGCCCAGAGAGGGTGCAGCACCTGCCCTGAGTCACACAGCCTGGCAGCGGCCGCTGTGTGGGCAGAAAGAAAAACACACCCGGGGGCTGGGGCACCCTGACAAGCAGCTCTGAGCCCTCCAGCCGCAGACTGGCACCGCCCCAGGGACAGACGGACAGACGGACAACTGGTGGTCCTGCCTCTGGTCAGGCAGAAGGGAGAGGCCCTCCATTAGGGACAGAGAGACTCAGTGCCCAGGAGGCCTCGACCTAATAGCTGGGCCACCGCACACCCACCAGGCAGCAGGCCAAGGGGCAGTGGCAGCCCCGCCCAGGCTCAGCTGCAGAGGGCGCTGCTGGGGCCACAACCCGCCCCACCCTGCCAGGGCTTCCTGAAGACCAGGTGGGTCTGGCACCCCCACCTCCATGGGGCACAGGGCACAGGCACTGCAGGTGCTGGGCCAGAGCCCTCGCCCAGAGTGAGGGGTGGGGAACAGGGCACGCTCCCAGGGCCTGGCCTCTGGAGTCCCTCCCAGCTCAGTCCGATGCAGCCCAGGGGCCTGGCCCCCATCAGGCAGGAGTCCCCGCCCAGCCACGAAGACGAAACACGCTGGAATCCTAGAACTTTAGTTCTTTAGGCCAGGATTCTGGAAACTTCCCATGCATTCTCCTGCACTGTGATGTTTCTAGAATCTTCTCTGCACCCCTTCTGCCCTGCTCTGATTCAGTCCCCCGCCTCCACCAAGCCTTTCATCTAGGCGGCCTCAGGCCTCAGTGTTTGCTCCTCAGGGGGATGAGAAGGGAGCAGCTGAGGGGGCGAGGGAGGAGTATGTGCTTCACAGATGCTCTCAGATCCCCCGAGACAGCTGTGGGGCCCCAGACACGGGCCTCTGCTGGATCTGACAAGCCCTGTCTTCCCGTGAAAATTGACCTTTCCCAAGTCCCCCCGCACCCCCCAGGGCTGCAGGTGGCTCTTCTGGAACCGCTGCCAGGTCCTGAGGGTACTCCTGGGACACGTGGCCCGAGCCTGGGAGCACCTCTGGGAAGAGATGAAGACAGACCCCACATCGGGGTGCTGGGTGTGAGGAAGGGGTTCAGACCCAAACACCTGAGGGCCACTCCCAGGGCCAGCAGGGCAAGAAGGGGACAGACAGGCTGGGCGGGCAGCAGTGCTCAGCTTCCCAGAAAATTCTGTGCTGTGGGGCTGGGCCGAGTCCCAGGTCTGAGCCTGAGTTGCTGTATGACCTCGGGCTGGTGCGCTCACACTCTGGGCCTTACTTTAGTAAAATGGCCGCCTACATGCTGACGTCCCATCACTGTGATAAAGCTGCAGGGGAGAGACACGCATTTAAGCTGCTACCGCTCACATGTGTGAGAACCACCCATCGCTCAGTCATTCAACCAACATTTACTGAGCACCTCCTTGGGCAAATCTGAGGAGGCGACGATGAATGAGGCACAGTCCCGTGTCCAGGAGACGCTCTAATCCAGTGTGTGACGCCAAGGCCAGGCCCATACCAGGGCTCGAAGGAGGGGATTTGGCTGGGTTTTGAGGGATGAGTAGGAGTTTGCCTCCAGGACAAGCCCGCGAGGACGTCTCTAGGCACTGCGGGGCAGAAGGCGGAGGTGTGCAGACGGGTCATGTCTGGGAAGTGCAGGGCCCAGGGGTCAGCCAGTGCTGACCGGCAAAGGGCCTCGCAGGTGTTTGCCCTTGAGGGCGTCCTCTGCCTTGTCTATAAAATCAGGGTAAATCCGCCTCCCGGGGAGAACGCTGTGGAAAGTGCCGGAGAATGCTAATGCTCCCTATTTAATTTTCCATGTTCTTTTTTGAGGCCAGGGCTATTTCTGTCCACCCCTGGCTATTTACAGGCCCGAGGTCGTCCTTTCCCACAGAGGCTCCTGGCTCCCAGGCCGGGTGGCATTCAGGCCAGGGACACTGGAGCAGAACCAGCGCCTGTCTTCACAAGGAAGCCCCCAGGCCCCCTAGGGAGCAGGAGGCCCAGCCTGCCCAGGAAAGGGGCTGCAAGCCCGCCTGAGCACCCACAGGGCAGGCCGTTCAGTCCCAAGGCCCCTCCCCCAGACAGGCAGGATGGAGCCCTCAGGTGTCGGGGAGGAGGGCCCGTCGCACCTCACTGCCCACAGAGGCGGTTCCCGTCGCTATGGCGACAGCCAGGTGGACCCAGCAGCAACCCCTGGCCACCTTGCATCTGCCCTGGCCCCTCGGTCATCCCCATCCGAGGACTCACCCACAGGCACTGACACCCGGAGGGCAGGTGGGCAAGCCTGGGAGGGTCCACATCACTCTGCAAAACCAGCCGTCAGGGCCTTCTGGAAGGGGCAGCTGACCCAGGGCAGCCTGTGGGGGCTCCACTCTCCCCTGCACCCCTCTGAAGTTCCTCCCGTGGGCCTTCCCAGCTGCCCACAGGTCCTGCTTCAGAGTGGGGGTCAGGGAGGGGGTGGCAGGAAGGAACAGAGCCTGCTGGGGCTGGAGCGGGAGCAGGCAAGGAAAGGCCCTGGAGCACGGGCAGGGGCATGGGAGGCAAGGAGGCGGGAGGAGACGCTGGGGGAGGGCAGAGCGCCGGAGGGCAGGGCAGGCTGGCCCCCTTCCAGCCGCGGCAGCCCAGCCGTAGCAGCTGAGACCTCGCAGGGAGCCAAGGCCAAGCCGCCGAGCTCACCAGCGCTGTCCACCATGTGGGCCCAGAACGTCCCCCAGGAACCCAGGCGCTCAGTGGTTAAGAATCTTCAGCCTCAACGGT